TCTTTGACGAAGATGCAGCAACCTTAATGGCGTTTCTTCGTAGCACTCCATTGAAAAGCACAAACCGACGATAGCTTCGTTAATGGAGATTGCAAGTGTTCGTATCTGACATTCGTTATCAAATATGTGTTAAATTTACTTTAACACTGTTTAATGTGGTCGACTGACATCGAACCAGCCGCATCTTTCTCTTCACAGACAAGAGGAAAGAAATAATTTAGTAAGCTAATAAATTCCCTTATAATATATTTGGACTCAGCATAGAACCGTGCAATTTTTGTTCAGATAACATAAAATTAGGATCTCGGTGTTTGAATAATAGTCGGACATCACTATATATATATATATATATATCTATATATATATATATATACAGAGAAAAAGAGAGAGGGGGGAGAGAGGAGAGAGAATTAATAGAATTAAACGGTTTGTTACTTACTTATATATATATATATATATATATATATATTAGGCAGCATATAATTTATATACAAAGAAATAATCACACATAGAATCAATCAGCAATATTAATGTGATTATTTCTTTATATATATATATATATATATATATATATATATATATATATATATATATATATATATATATATGAAACTTTTCTCAGAGTTAACGTGTAGAAAACGACAATATTTATAAATGTAAAAGACAATGGGAAAACTATAATAGCTGACATCTGTGTGTTTCTACAGGTTAACTTCTAGAAATTTTCGAAATTTTTCATATTTGTCGACATGGAAAACAAAAAACATACACAAAGTGGCAACTATTACAGTTTTCCCATTGTCTTTTTACATTTATATATATATATATATATATATATATATATATATATATATATATGTGTGTGTGTGTATATATATATATATATATAGTTATTTATATATATTATATGCGCGGTACTTATTGGAAAGCGCTCAGATATCAGAGATAGAGCTAACATATTTGGTTGATTGATGAGTTGTGACTCTGTGTTTCACGCTTTTGCGATCGTCAGACAGCTGATGATCGTAAAAGCGTGAAACCCAGGTCACAAACTCATCACTCCAAATATATATATATATATATATATATATATATATATATATATATATATGTGTGTATGTATGTATGTACATACATTATATTTACTAGCTTAAAGGCCGTCTTAACAGGCGGCATTTAACCTAACTCGTGCGCAGTGCTGTTGATTGGGCCTTCATCACAATAGGTAGAGAGGAGTAGATGCAACATCAACAATAAACTACAGAAGAACTCAAAAGAGATCGCTGCATTTAAGTATTGCATTAATATCTCAGCTTACTTTCAACGATAATTTTTCTACCTCCAGTTAATTTAAAGACGATTTGATGTACGTTGGTCCTTACTTTCCGTACGAGAAATTATTTTTATTTCATGGGTGACTTTCGTACGCAATTAATTTTGATTATTCTCAAATTTATTTCCAAGTTATGAAAATTACTATCTTACAAAAACATTCGTCACAAAATGTCACTTTAAAAAACAAAAAAAAAAACCCACCGAAAACAATGGCAGTAATGAAAACTTGAGAATAAAAAAAAATCAGGATTGCGGGCCCGGATTCGACCGGGAATGTATTTAATTTGCTCATGGAGTCGGCCTGATTCCAAAATGGTATGATTTGTTAGGCTACTGCCTGTAACAGTAATGTTGAAAAGTCTCACACATTGACACACTGACATTCACACACACACATATATATATATATATATATATATATGTGGGTATCCTAGAATACGAGTGGCCAGCTATTATATATATATATATATATATATATATATATATATATATATATAATTATCGTGAAACTAACACTAAAAGATAGTTAACCAGGGAGACTCTGTTTCACCCTCATCAAGGGCAGCTAGCCCGCGCCAGAACTCAACCTGGTACTTTACATAGATCTGCGTAATTGTGGAAGGAAAACTCATGACAGTTTAAACCGGTCATTATATTGCATGTTTCTGCCGAGAGGCGTGTACTGACTGGTATTGACTGTGATCCGGAGAGGTTAAACTCTTCGTTAATAACCCATTAGGACTATCGTTTGGAGTTTCCGTGGCAAGTCTTTTCCACCGTTACTTTTTTTATCGACAGATCGAAAAAGTGTGGATGGTCCTACAAAAGCCATCACCACTTTAAAAAAATCATTGCGTTGATTTTCTGACAACTACATCTAATTAGTTCCACACAATTCAACAATAACAATGGCTGGTCGAAGCCCTTAAAAGCAATCAAAAGAATGAAAATAACTGATATAGCACAGACTAATGCCAATAAAGACTGTGGAACATTAAGTGAAGGGGTCTGGCCCGACAGGTGTCCCACAGTATCGCAGTGTGGGTCCGGTCGTCATCCGTCTATTGCGAAAAACTTTACGAAACAACAACTTCATCTTGGCTCTTGGAGTTTACGAACTTCCCAGGACAACACAACACCAGAAAAAAATACAGCTCTGGTCGTATTGAAGCTAAAAATGCACAACATTGATATAGCTTCACTGAGTGAAACTAGTCTTGCCGGTGTAAAGAGAAAAAGAGGATACATCTTTTTCTGATCTGGGAATGATAAAAACGAGTCGAGACAATCAGGTGTAGGTTTTACTATCAAATCAAAGATTGCGGGACCATTACCCTTTCTGCCTAAGGCTGTTTTTTATAGAATAATATCTTTCAAAATTGACCTTGATCACAAAACTACTGCCTTGTTAGTCAGCTCCGAACATGAACAATACTGAGCACATAATTGATCACTTCTACAATCAACTGCGGAATGTGATATCTACCTGTGACGATAGGAATAAATTAGTTCTCTTGGGGGACTTCAACGCCTGTGTTGGTCCTGACCATTAGACATGGAAAGGTGCCATTGGTTGTCACGGTGTTGGGTGAACGATATTCTAATGGTCTGCGATTACTCTCTATGTGTAGAGAATTTGATCTCAGTATCACGAACGGCGCGAAATCCACACTGAGATTCAGGGTAGATGGCGTCGACAATGTGTTTTATAATTCAGTTGTAGATGAGCCTCGCCAAAATTTTTCCGCTGGCAGAGAAAAGTGAGATTCCCCTATGGTTTTCGAATACTGTTTTAAGACCTTTTGTCTTATATATGTGTTGCCAGAGGCATTTTTGAAGTCCTGAGGAATATGGCCTGATCTTGTGGTACTCTCGACATGATTTTTGTCCTACATCATGTTACAGAGAAGGTTCGTGAGCGAAATAGAGAGATTTTTTATGGTATTTGTGGACCTTACTAAGGCCTTTGATACTGTAAACAGAGAAGCACTCTGAAAAGTTCTGAAAAAAAACAACATTGAATGTTGAATGTCATCATTTCATGGCTGTATGAAAGCTAGTGCTATATCTGATGATCATCATTCTGATCTATTTGATGCCACTAATGGAACTAAGCAAGACTGTGTCATGGCGCCTGTTTTGTTTGCATTGTTCTTCTCGGTGATGCTGAGGTATGCTTTTCGGGATACAAAATCTAGCGTTAATTTTCATTTTCGAACTAATGTTTAATCCTCACACTTCTACGTACCAGTATTATACGTGATCTACTTTTTTCAGATAACGCTGTCCTTGTAGCTAACTCTTTAGAGGAAGCCCAAGACTTACTCAACCGGTTTTCTGCCGCATGCAAGGCATTTGGACTTACCACCTGCGTCAAGAAAACTGAAGTTATTCATCAATCCTACCCGATACCGAATCAAATTAGAGGTTTAAAACAGAGACTCCCTGTTCGTAAATTTCCTGAGGTCCCTTTACAAGTTGGTGGAAAGTATGTGAAATCTTTCAATTACCTCGGAAGCAAGAAAAATTCAAGTGCATCACTTGATGACGAGATTGTTAATCGCATTGCAAAAGACAGCGCTTCTTTTGGTTTACTGTGTCATAAGTTGTGGAACGAAATGGGGAATAAAGCTTTGCACTAAAATCCAATTGTACAAAGCTGTCGTTTTCTCAACTCTTTTGTATAGCTCTGAATCTTGGACACCTTATAGATGGCACACTAATCGATTAGATGTCTTCCATAAACCCTGTCTCCGTACAATCTGTGGTCTGACGTTGATGATTGGGTATCAAATGCCGACCTTTTTGAGAAATGAAAGACTGGTACAATCGAGGCCTTCATAGTGGAATCACAACAGCGTTGGGATGGCCATGTAGCAAGAATGAGTGATGATCGTTTACCAAAAGTTCTTTTTTTACAGTTAAATCCATATTGGTCATAGAAATATCCGTAGACCTTGGCTCAGGTATAAAGATAAACTGAAAAGCAACCTTTCTTGCATCAACATTCCATTCAAGAACTTTGAAAAGGTATCTACGAAGAGATCGTTCTAGCTGCCAATCAAGAATAATGCACCATCAAGAAGTACGCATCATTCAACTACGTGAAACACGAAAGCAAAATAAGACAGCTAACTGTTCCTGCTGCACTTGGATACAATACATTATACAGTAATACTATAACACACACACATATAAATATATATATATATATATATATTTATCACATTAGTTATTTTAAGTGGTTATTCGTATTTGAGTAGGCACCACATCAAATGCAATAAATTTTGAATGAAAAGTATTATCAACTGATGATATACATTATATATTAGTGTTAATAATTTTGTGTGTAAAGATGCCACTAAGCAGTTCCCTTTGCTATGTTACGTATTTAGAAACTTTGTTAGGAAACATACACAAATCAATCAATCAATCAATCAATCAATATATATATATATATATATATATATATATATATATATATATATATGCTTATTAAATTAGATGTAAAACTTTCAATACTTATCGTAGTTCAACTCAGCGTTTCGAAATATTTTCATTCCCCCATCAAGACAGAGAGTCTATATTTAGGAATTTATTTTGTAAAATTTTATATAGACATTAACTTATATAATTTTACGCATGTTACTTGCTATTATTATTAGCAAGTATTTTATTTTCTCCTTCGCCCCTCCACTCTCTCTCCCTTCTCTCTTTCTCTCTTTGAGAAAGCCTGTGGTGCCCCACTCTCTCTCTCTCTCTCTCTCTCCCTCTCTGAGAAAGCCTGTGGTGCCAGCCCCTCTCTCTCCCTCTCTCTCTCTGAAAAAGCTTGTGGTGCCAGCCCTCTCCCCCTCTCTCTCTCTGAGAAAGCCTGTGATGCCACCTCTCTCTCTCTCTCTCCCCCCTCTCTCGCTCCCTCTCCCTCTCTCTCTCCTCCCTCTCTGAGAAAGCTTGTGGTGCCAGCCCCTCTCTCTCCCTCTCTCTCTCTGAGAAAGCTTGTGATGCCAGCCCCTCTCTCTCCATCTCTCTTTCTGAGAAAGCCTCTGATGCCACCCTCTCTCTCACCCGCTCTCTTTCTCCCTCTCTCTCTCTCTGAGAAAGCCTGTGATGCCACCCTCTCTCTCTCCCTCTCTCCCCCGCTCTCGCTCCCTCTCCCTCTCTCTCTCCCTCCCTCTCTGAGAAAGCTTGTGGTGCCAGTCCCTCTCTCTCCCTCTCTCTCTCTGAGAAAGCTTGTGATTCCAGCCCCTCTCTCTCCATCTCTCTTTCTGAGAAAGCCTCTGATGCCACCCTCTCTCTCACCCGCTCTCTTTCTCCATCTCTCTCTCTCTCTGAGAAAGCCTGTGGTGCTGATG